GGGGGGGGGGGGGGGAGGGGGGGGGGGAGAGAATGAGAACCTGAACAAGGTGTGGCAATAACTTCTCTTCATCTTCTTTTACATTCATGATGGATGGGTCTAATTTTCCACTTTGCCAATCATATCCTGTCAAAGCAAGCAAGAATAAGTCCTCACATCACCCAAATCATCAAAATTTGGTACATATGCAAAACTCTATTTTCCACTCCCAGAGAAAAAAAAAAATCGCTTACAAGTCAGCACCATCCATAGATATTAGGCTAACTTACGATCCAATGAGACCAAGGTACCATTTAAATAAGGTCAAAAGTTGCAATTCAATGAGCTTAAAAAAAATTAGACCAACAACAAAACACTTTGAATGATTCTAAAAAGTTAGAATTCATCCCAAGTTTTTGGATCAATTCTAACAAGTTGGGCCTAAGCTAACATTTTCAATTTTCTTTCAATGGTGAAGAGTGTTCAGGCAGCTACTAATCCCCCCCAGTCTGATCAAAGGCAATAAATTTGCTAAATTTCGAACTCAACAAGTCTGAGTTTATAGAAGGTTCTTTTTATCACTTGAGTTACCCTTCCAGGGTATCCTACTATTTTCGAATCAAACCTAATTCGACCCCATTCCATCATATTTGGTCTGGTTGAGTCGTAATTTGATGTGATTGGGTTAATAGTTTTTCGATACAATACAAATAGGAGCAAAAAAAAATACCCAGAAAACAAAGTATCATCAAAGTGTTATGAGCTAATTACCAAACAATTTCTGGAAATTGAACCATTGGTAAGAGCAAGCACTGGCTTGTATTTGAATTTCCACACTCCCATTCTCATCTCTCTTTTCAAATGCATTTGCAACATGTATTGTCCACATCTGTGAAGGAGCTTCAATCGGAACTCTCCAATCTCTCTCCTCCCCTGTGGATTCATTTGGGAACCGAGGAAGCAAATAAATCGGCGATGTTGGCTTGCTCGGATTCACCGATAACGCCGATATCATCGGCGATAGCCCACACACCGCTGCCAGTGATCCTGCACAATGCACATTGAAACAAAATAAAAGAGTACTTAATGGCAACCCCCTATTTTTCTTGCTATAACAAAAAGTTTACGACTAACGCGTGATAAACGATTCTCAAATTCAATTCGTTTTGGGTTTAACTCAAATTCGTTCATTTGAAAAATGAATCGAGTTTGTATAATTTTTAGAATTAAACGTAAATTGCATTCCGAAAGATTATTTGAATTTTAATTTGTACCTCTAAAAATAAAAAATTTTAATTTATTTCTTCAAAAAGATATAAATTTTCATCAATGTGCAACCCCAAAGATAAAAAATTTCAATCAATGTGCAACCCCAAAAATAAAAATTTATATCAATGTACACTTAAAACTAACTGCTGTTAGTTTGCGGCCTAAAATTAAATTAATAAATTATACATAGAGCCCCTCATATTTATCAGCTAATTATTTGAGCCTCTTCACATTTAGAATATTACTCCTACATCTCATGACGTTTATGCACATGTAACACGTAACTATTTTTAGTTGATATTTGTTAATATATCCGTTAAAAAATATGATTTTATTCTAATAAAAAATTTTAATTTCATATTACCCTTTTATTTTATAGGTCAGATATTCTCTAAAGTTCAAAATCAAGCTTGAATGTCTAATAGAATATAGGTATTTATATAATATTTTTTATATCTAATGCAATATATTACTTAAACATAATTATTTAAATGTGGGACATTTTAAATTGAGAGTATTTTTATTTTGATTTTATAATTTTTAAAAAATATAATTTTATCCTAATAAAAAATTGTAATTTCATATTACTCTTTATTTTGTGAAGGGATCAAAATGATTAAGTGACAAGCATGAGGAGATATAGGTATAATTTATCAATTTAGTTCCAGGCAAGAAATTAACGGACATTAGTTTTAGGTGTACAATGATATAAATTTTTATTTTTAGGGGTGTACATTGATACAAATTTCTATGTTTGAGGGTGTAAATTAAGATTTTTAATTTTTGAGGGTAAAAATTAAAATTCCAACGATCTTTAGATATATAATTTGTAATTAACCCTAATTTTTAATCTCGTTTAAAAAACAAGTCTTATAAGTACGTTTCATTTTAAGTTCGATTTTGAGTTCGACTTAAGCTCGTTCTTTTGAACAATAAGTCGAGTTCAAATAATATTTAAGTCGTCTTTAAAAAATAAGCCCCATAAGTATGACTCGTTTTGAGCTCGAACTCGTAAAATGTGGATTAATTATATATAAAATAGTCAAATTATTCAGACTCGACTTAGTTTGACTTCGATTCGAATTTGCTGTAAACACTTTTTAAGCTCGATTTGAAAAATGAGATTGTCAAGCCCGAAGTCGTTCGTTCTTCCCGTTTACCACCTCTACTAATGCTTGCTCCATTTCTCTTTAAACGAATCGAGTTCATTTTGATTCGATTTTGACTTCATTTGTGTTGTAAAATGGCTTGTATGTGTTCAAATTTTGAAATTTGATTAACATTCAAGATGAGCCAGAGTTATATGTCCCTTGATCTTGTATGTTTGAGCTCAATTAGTTCATAAAATAAAGTGGATATTTTTCATTGTAAAAAAAATAAAATCGTTTCGAATTGTTTGTCACTTTCCTCTAGTCGTGAGGCTGAGCTCGAGCTCAGCTCCGAGCACAAATTCGAGCTCTTAACACAAAATCGAGTCAAATTGAACCAAACTATGCGATCTTAGACTATAGATCTGGATTAAGAGGTCACTTACCAGCCACATCAAGCTTGATGCGATTGCCAAACAGGATGTAATGAGTGCCCGTAAATGCCCAATCGTGAATCATAAGGTGATCAGGTATGTTGAATTCTTGACTTTGCAACAGCTTGAAATTTGAGTCAAATTCTGCATATATGAACAAATAAATTCCTAAGTCATAATTTAATAAAGTGAAAAAATATATTTTTTCTTGTTCCAAAATTATACACTTTGTGTTAAATTGGTCTTCAATCTTTCAATTATACAGTATTCAATTTGTTCTACTTTGGTCCGATTAAAACGACGGTTTAAATTAACTAACGAAGATGATCATGTGCATTTCACGTTACCAAAATCGATGAGGGCCCTTTTTTTCAAAATGTAAAAGATTAAATGTACATAAATTATAAATTTGAAGGACCAAAATGGCACATATTATAAACTTGAGGGGTCAAAGCGACTTTTAAGGGTAAAAGTGCAAACTATAGCAGAATTATGAAAAGAAAAGGACAATGATAATCTATACATATAAAACAAATAATTTTGTAGGGAGACACTTTGAGAAGCCTTCACTCCTTAGTTTCTAATTTGATAGAATTTTGAATTATTTATAAACTTATTTAAGAAATTATTTTTACTACCCAATAATTTTTAATAATTCTTTATCTAAGTTTTTAAATATAATAATGAGAAATGGAGGCGAATGTTTAAGAAAAAATACCAAAAATAAAAAATAAATTATAAATCCCACGCACGTGTGGGACCACTAGGTTAAGCTATAATTTGAATTCATTAATGTTCACCATCATCCACCGTTGCTTATTTGCTTTGTCTTGATGTCTTCTTGTTTTGTTACAAATATATTCCTTGTAAACATCGACATCTATCTACATTAAATCTAATACAAGTCATAATTAAAGGGTGTTGGGTAATTTACGAATAAATATTTAATATAATAATTGCACCAATGATAATAGTGTTACGTGGTGTAATCGTCCAATAAAAAAATTAAAAAATGAAGAAAGTGGACACATTTTCTTTAATTGAAAATATTTTGTTTGAATTTTGTGGGGCTCACTTTTCTGCTTGTTTTCTTATTAGTAATGGTTACACTATTATCGCAGTATAATCGTTATACTTAATATTTTCTCGTAATTATTGATGTGGGCCAGGGTCAAAGGCCCAACCCATGTTATAAGTCTGGTTCGAGCTAAAGGCCCAATTTCAAGAGATCTAACTAGTCAAGTCCAAACGAGTCTACACCCGGATAACCTTATCAAGATCAAGGAGCTACATCAGCAAGGTAGCATGCACGGTCATCCAAGAGCCTCCTCTACGCCACCAAGGGAGCATTCAGGAGCCTCACCCTCACAGCCTGGAGAGAGTCAACCTCCCTCATCTTTGACTAAGTCCTTTGGAGAGCGCACCAACAGTCACATCTCGCCCGTTGAGAAGATGATAAATTGCCTCCGCCGGATCAACTACCTAATTACTATCAAACGGTTCTAAGTCATAATGACCGTCAGAATAGTCATATAATTACTACGTCAAACCACTATAAATTGTAAGCTCCTTTGACACTTGGGGGTATCAGACTCATTTGAGCATAATTCCCTCCTCCCCTCTCAAAGCTTTTAATCATGTGCTCTCCCTCCACACCGGAGATAATAAAATTCTGGCGAACCTAACCATTCAAAGTGGAAGTAGGTCGTATTGACCGAACCACTATAAATCTTGTCTTCTCTCCCCTTCTACTTACTGCATTTTATACTATAACTTGACTAGTGGTGTGTAAACTAATTTGTGCATCATCAGTTTGGCGTCCTTTGTGGGAACGACAGTTCTCAACTAGCCACTTTTCTTTACTGAGTTAAAGTCGATTACCAACAAATCCATGAATCAACCTGAAGATAACCCACCACCAAAAGAGGAGGAGGTTGCTCCTCAACCAACCAATCATGCCCCAAATGAGCAACAGATGCTCGAGACCATGCAGCAACTTGCGGCCCAGAACCAACATATCCTACAACTAATGCGCCTTGGGCGTTAAGAAGTTCTCCACATGGGCGTTCCTCATCTAGGAGGAGGAGCACACCACATGGGCGCTCCTCATCTAGGAAGAGGAGCACAGCCTGGACCTCAAGTTAGAGGAGCTCCACGCCTTGGGCATCAAGGAACTCCCCACATGAGTGCTCCTCATCTAGGAGGAAGAACACAACCTAGACCTCAAGTCAGAGGAGCTCCACGCCCTGGGCGTCAAGGAGCTCCCCACATGGGTGCTCCTCATTTAAGCGCCCCCTTTGGAGCCCCCTCAGACGCCCCACAAGGGACCTCCACCTCCTCTTCCAGCTCCCTCTTTTCATGATGGAGACCCTATTTTCTAATAGGACAAGGATGAAAACCAAAGCTTAGAGCATGGGAGTCATATCCATGGTAATTCCAAGGGACCTCCTCCTAATCATTGGGACGAAAAAATTATGGAGGTGCAAAATCAATTGGGTGATGTCTTCAACCCATGAAGGCACGAGGACCCGAGATGGTGGATTATCTTGTAAGTCGAACCGACACACCTTTCAAACCTGACATAACAAACTATCCACTCCCTCAAAAATTCAAGATGTCATCCATCGAAACCTTTGATGGTACGAAGGATTCATTGGACCACCTTGAAACTTTTAAGACATTGATACAACTGCACAACGTCCCTGACGAAATCATGTGCAGAGCGTTTCCAACCACCTTGAAAGGATTCGCTCGATAGTGGTTCGCCAAGATCACCCCCACTTCCATTGGCTTATTTGCTGAGCTGAGCAAGTCCTTTGTGTTGCATTTTATTGGAGGACGCCGTTACCAGAAGTCTGCCACCCACCTGCTCAGCATAAAGCAAGACCGAGATGAGAGCCTGCAAAGCTACCTCACTCATTTTAATGAAGAGGTCCTTCAAGTCGAAGAGCTCGATGAAAAAATCAGCGTGACCGCCTTCTTGGGAGGCCTTCGGTCATCGAGCTTCCTTTTCTCCGTGATGAAACGCCTACCAAAGAGCATGTCAGAACTATTGACAAAAGTTCAAAAATTTATGAATGCTAAAGAAATCAACAGGTCCAGGCGAGGTGAATAATCTCACGGATCGTCAAAAGCTTGACCTACCTCTACACTGTTCTTAAACATGTAGTATTATCTCCAGCTTAGCGGCTCTCTCGAGGGTCGCCAAAAAGCTTGGCCTACCTCTATATTGTTCTTAAACAGATAGTCTATCTCTAGCTTAGCGGTTCTCTCGAGGGTCGCCAAAAAGCTTGCCTACCTCTGCACTGTTCTCAAATAGGCAGCCTATCTCCAGCTTAGCGGCTCTCTCGCAGGTCGCCAAAAAAGCTGGACCTCTGCACTATTCTCAAACAAGTAGTCTATCTTCCGGCTCTTTCACGAGTCGCCAAAAAAGATTGGCATCTGCTCTGCTCTCAAGCAAGTAACCTATACCTCAAGCTTAAAAACTCTTTCATGGGTCGCCAAAAACTTGGTCTCAAAAAGTGTAGCTCTTTCACGAGTAATCCTCAAACTCTATCTTGCTCTCGCGCAAGCAGTCTGCCTCTTTCTTTAGGTAATCATAAATATTTTAATGTTTGGAATAACATTATTTTTATCATCATAAGCAGGTTCACCCATCTCAGCTCGGCGACATAGAACCGTTGGGGGATATGATAAGCAGAAACAATCCTCAGAATATCATGAAAGAATTTGATTTTGAGAAGGTGCACTGAGAGGAGCTGGACCATCACAGTTGAAAGTGTCTGGCATACTCTACCCCCAGGCTCCAGAACTAGGCTTACCAAGAAATTCCTGGGTAATCCCGCCTGCATGGGCAAGAACTAAACTCCCTACAGGGGCATCCAAAGCTCCTTGGATACCTGAACTCCTTGAATTATCACCAAAAGTGGCACCCAAAATTTTCTTGTAGCTTGCACTACTTAACCCAGTGCCTAGAGAGGCGTCTGACCCCCTCTGCTCGCCCAAATGGGCAGCCCAGTGCCGAGAGAGGTGTCTGACCCCCTCTACTCGTACAAGCGAAGTAGTCTTGCTGGCGCCCAACCATTTGTGCTCGCCAAGGAGGTGGCCTGCTCGCCCAAAAAGCTGGTTGTTCGCCCAAAAATGCGCCCCTGGCTCCCTACTCGCTATTTTGGCCGTAAATTTTGCTACGTAAGTCAAAATAGGACACATTATATATCAAATCGAAACTCTCGATGAGCTGAGCAAAACTCATTATTGTTGGTAATGAGCTTTTCAAAAAAAGTCCAAAAAAGTTCAGAAAGAGATGTTTTGGCCTCTCGAAGTTTAAATAAAAAAAAATTTGCCCAGGAGGTTGTATGCTAGTCTAGGAGGTGGCTTGCTCGCCAAGGAGGTGGCCTGCTCACCCAAAAATGCGCCCCTAGTTCCCTGCTCGCTATTTTGACTGTAATTTTTGGTTCGTAACTCAAAATAGGGCTTATTATATACCAAATCGAAGCTCCCGACGAGCTAAGCAAAACTCAGTACTTTTGGTAATGAGCTTTTCAAAAAAAAAAAAGTCCAAAAAACATTCAGAAAGAGGTGTTTTGGCCTCCCGAAGTTTATAAAAAAAAATAAAAAATTCTTGCTGGCCCAGAACAGTGCTCTGCTCGCCTAGACAGCTGCCTGCTCGCCCAAATTGCTCGCCTAGCTCTCTGCTCGAAATTTTGATAGTAACTTTTGTTCTATTGTTTGAAATAAGGTTTATAGTATATCAAATCAAAACTCTCGGCGAGCCCTACAATACTCATAGCTTTTGGCTAAGAATGATGCTGCTAAAAGTCCAAAAAAGGCCTATAAACGGATGTTTTGGCCTCCCGAAAATTTTTCAATTATGTCGGTTAGCCGAAAATTCAAATTCAACTTAAATGTCCTCCTTTCCAAGTTCTGTTGAACACAGGGCATTGGAGGACAAATGATAGGGCAGGCCCAAAGGCCTAACCCGTGTTATAAGCCTGGTCCGAACTAAAGACCCAATTCCAAGAGATCCAGCTAGTCAAGCCCAAAGGAGTCTACACCCGGATAATCTTATCAAGATCAAGGAGCTACATCAGCAGGGGAGCATGCACGGTCATCCAAGAGCCTCCTCTACCACCTTGGAGTAAGAGTCATCCAAGAGCCTCCTCTACGCCACCAAGGGAGCATCCAGGAGCCTCACCCTCGCAGCCTGGACAGAGTCAACCTCCCTCATCCTTGACCAAGTCCTTTGGAGAGCACACCAACCGTCACACCTTGCCCGTTGAGAAAATGATAGATCGCCTCCGCCGGATCAGATACCTAATTACTATCAAACGGTCCTCAGCCATAATGACCGTCAGAATAATCATACAATTATTACATCAAACTACTATAAATTGTAAGTTTCTCTGACACTTGGGGGGCATTAGACTCATTTGAGCATAATTCTCTCCTCTTCTCTCAAAGTTTTTAACCATGTGCTCTCCCTCCACACCGGAGATAATAAAATTCTGGCAAACCTAGCCATTCAAAGTGGACGTAGGTCGTATTGACCGAACCACTATAAATCTTGTCTTCTTTCCCCTTCTACTTACTGTATTTTATACTATAACTTGACTAGTGGTGTGCAAACTAATTTGTGCATCATCAATTACATAGCAAAAGTATTTAGTCGGACTACAATATAATGTTTGGCAAAACATATTCAAAATATGTATGTATATATATCTTCCCCATGTACATATATTTTTATTTTAAAAAAAACTTTAATAATGCACTAAAAAATATCTGTGAAGATGTCAAACTCACCGTAGAAGATGAAGTTACTGCGTGGAAGCAACATATCTTCTGCATTGCACGATAAGACCAGAAGTCTATTTCTCTGAACATCGATCTTATAGTGAGACAACAGCCGCTTTGGAGGCATCTTGAATACTCCTGTCGAAGGCATCCAACACACAATGGGTTTTTTTTTTTTTTCTCAATAATTTATCTCTTCTGGATGTTACCTCCTTTGACATTTGCAAAAACATAGTCTTCAAAAATGTGGGTTTGTCCGAGTGATTGAACATTTAAAAATCTCATATCAAATTAAAAAAAACGTAAAAATGTCTTAATATACAATTAATGAATGAGCTCGTGTGTAATGATTCGCTCAAACTTTCAACATATTGTTAACTTTGGGTGCCCATACACCCTCACGGTTTTGTTTCTCTAGAGTTTTGTTCCAAAAAAGGTCTCTACACAATTAAGAGTGAGCACACCATATATATAGTCTTGTCACTCTCCCTTCCGAGTTGATGTAACATGCAAGATGTAGCACCTCCTCACCTTGTAAGGTCTTTTTATCAAGCTACTAGTGTAATATACCTTCTCACCTCTCAAGGCCTTTTTTGCCGGCTACTAGTGTAGTGAAGGTGTATGGATATCTAAAGTGAACAATATTTTGACAGTTCGAACGGGTCGTTACGTCATCGCTTATAGACTTAAACTTTTAGATGGTATGAGTTTTAAATATGTATATTGGGATTTGGATCACTAGACTCCCCAATCTCCAAACGCTGGTTTTTTTTTCCTTGTTAGGCTAAATTCATATATATGTGCTTCAAAACCGGGGGGGGGGGGGGGGGNGGGGGGGGGGGGGGGGGGGGGGGGGGGGGGGGGGGGGGGGGGGGGGGGGGGGGGGGGGGGGGGGGGGGGGGGGGGGGGGGGGGGGGGGGGGGGGGGGGGGGGGGGGGGGGGGGGGGGGGGGGGGGGGGGGGGGGGGGGGGGGGGGGGGGGGGGGGGGGGGGGGGGGGGGGGGGGGGGGGGGGGGGGGGGGGGGGGGGGGGGGGGGGGGGGGGGGGGGGGGGGGGGGGGGGGGGGGGGGGGGGGGGGGGGGGGGGGGGGGGGGGGGGGGGGGGGGGGGGGGGGGGGGGGGGGGGGGGGGGGGGGGGGGGGGGGGGGGGGGGGGGGGGGGGGGGGGGGGGGGGGGGGGGGGAACTTTGGGTCCAATTGTGACAACGATTTCAAGTTTAGGGACCACTTATATGCAATACATACACACACACATATATCATCCTGAACTACCAAGGATGTTTACTGTATGTTTATAATTTAGAGGAAAGGAATAGAACTGTGTAATTTTCTATCCTTTCATGTCTATGGAGTTTTAGGTAGTGTCCTATCAGTAATGGAAATGGTCAAGTTTCTTGTTTCAAAGATATAATAATTAATACATGTTATTTGAGAAGCAAAGTGGGTTCTGTCTAACTAGTTAAACATAACCTGGGTCGAAAATCTTTAATTGCATAAATCACTATAAGAAATAAGATTTTTTAAGATAAGCTTTTTATGATAATAGTGTTTATCGTCATAAAAAAACGTGTTTTGGAGATTTTTTTTTTTTGTTGCGGTAGTGTTATTATAAAAAATTTATTTGCTGCCACAAATACTATTTCTAACTGTTATTGCCATCACAAATTTTTTTTGGGATTTCATTTATTATGGCGAGACATACCGTCAAACGCCTTACTATAATAAGTGGAGTTTTAAAAAATCTTTGTGGTGGCAATAATCTGTTTCAAATAATATTTGTCTAATTCTTGTAGTGATTATTCTAATTATTTCTTCTTCTCAAACAAATATTTCAAGTTCAGATATAACTTATATATGCAACCCGTGCAGCAATATACATATACATATATATATGTGAGTGTGTGTGCGCTATGTTTTACTGTAACTCTAAAATTTAGAGGAAGGGAATAAAACTGTATTTTTGAAATATTCATATTTACTGAGTCTTAATGTTTGAAGTTGAAGGATACACGTACCATACAATAATGGCTTCAACACCTCTGCAGCCAAACCCCAAACACCTTCTTTAAACCTTCCGTCCTCCGGCGACGATTTCCGATCATCATCTTCGATTATATCAGACCTCCCAATGGTTTCCAAAGTTGTAGATTCAATCTCATAAGGGTCTCCACCTTCCCACAAGCAAAACAGCCTATCATTCCACCTTAATACACTAGTGTTTGCAACATTTTTCATCACCTTAGTGTTTCCCACCTTTTTACCACCTTTTAGAACAGAAAACGGTCCCCGGTGGGTGAACAGCCACCGGCCGGTCATCGGATCATGTTCCTCCACCTGAGCCTCAGTCTTTATGTACCTAGCCATGAACTTGACCTTTCCTTTGGCACCATCAATTGTAAATGCCCTAAGATAGCCATGACCATCAAGAGGGTGCACAGTTGAGCCATGGTCATCGGAGAAGAGTCCCGGTCCGGTGAGATAATATGTTCCGGCCGGGAAGTCCTCTGGTATTGCGCCATCAATGACCCTAAGGGTAACTGGCTCAATCGTTTCTGATCTTTGAGACACAAACAGAAATTGGTAGTCCCAGAAGGCGGCGACCGAATCATCTACTTCGGGGATTGAAACTTGAGAACTCGGGATAATAATCGAGACTGCTTGTGGAACATTGGCCGGCAATGAAATGCTGCGTAGTGGTGGTAGCCTTACTGGTGGCGGAATTTTGGGTGGTGTAATATGGTGCGGTTTGGCCTGCATTTGTCTTAGTTTTGGAACGAGGTGAGGCCTTTTGGTTATGAAGGTGATAGCAATGCAATTGAAGGTGGCGTGGCATGGCATGGCATGGCATTTTCCTTTTATATATAAAGACAACATACACAAAAAGTTGGTGGGCTGGATCATTGCTATGAATATTTGCCTTTTTTTTTTTCTTTTGTTTCAAGTGTATCGGTTGTTACAATTCAATTACTCCTCTTCCCGAGTTGGTTAAAATAAATAATCTACAGCAAATTAAGATATTCATAAGGGATAAATCTCTCATGAGTTGACCTTAAGAGATTATCAAGATTCAAACTCAGAACGTCTGATTTTATAACTTGTTCTTATTACCACTTGAATTATCCTTTAAAATTAATATTTAAATTTTGGTAATGAGAATCATTATATTCACCCGTTTTTTTAAACTCGTGATTATAACATAAATTTTAGATGTTCATAATTACCCATTAACCACATAGATCAATTATGTCTGACTTTTAAATCAAAAAAATAATTTAAACTCAAAACTTATGAGTTTACGTCTTGCTATTTGTTAGATTGCTCAATCAACTTGTGAGGTTGGGTTTTGAATATTTGTTATCATTTGTCCATTACACTTTTATAATAATCTTTTTTTTTTATGTTAATTGTACTTTCAATGTGTGTGGTGGGGGCCTGGTCACCTTGTTGGGTAACGTAAATTTGCCTCAACTAGGTGGTGGGACAACTATGCCATACACTTTGCTCAAAAATGGAAGACAAGGTCATGCTTGCACATTAGAAGGCAGACAAGTTGGTTTTTTTTTTCCCTTCATGCAAAATGCCATCTCACTTATTTATTCTTATAAAAAAAAATTTTAAAAATAGGGTTAATTAGCTTAGTGGTTAAAATTCGGTCCAATAACTTTTAATTGATGGTTGAATCTTGTCGACAGTCAATTAATGAAAAATATGTCAAAGATTATGTTTGTATCCAATCTATTGCTTCTCAGACCCTCGTTAATTGCTGAAATTTCAGCTTAGCAACATATTTGGAGTACTTTGACTCAAGTTGCCCACTAACTTAGATGAGATCTCAAAGTTTTTTGTTTAATGGTCAGGGGTGTTCAGATCAGTTTATACGCACCTTGATTAATCTTTTCTCCGACTCGATCAAAGATAGACGATCTAGGCTGGGACTGAGGCATTCATGAGAGATAAATTTCTCATAATCTAGTCCAAAAGAGTTATCAAGAAATTTGTCATCTCAAGAATTGAAGTTCAACTCTTGTCTTGATTCGATCAATTCATAAATTAGTTTATGAGTAATTGTGTCGATTCAAATTTTTTGCTCTAACTCTAAGTTCAAAATTTAAGTGTGTATAGGATAATTGGTCTTGATGCGATTTCAGTGTAATAGACTACTTCATCAGACAATTTTTCTTCTACGGTCTAAAAAAGGAGAAGTTATTCGATCTTCTCTTAAAATGAAAGTATATGAATTAAAATTTTGGATTAATAGTATTTTTAGTCCCTAAAGTACGTATTTTTTATCAGTTTAGTTCTCATTATATCAATTTCTTTAATTTAGTTTTTGGAGTATTTAATTCGTGTCATTTTGGTTTCTACATAGATGAACTGTTAAGTTTTTTATAGAATAATCAGGTATTGGGCACGTGATACCATTTAAAAAATGATACATAGTAACTTTCGTAAAAAAACTTAACGGATTATTTGATTAAGGATAAAAATGACATGAATTGAATATTTTAGAAACTAAATTAATAAAAGTAATACAACTGACAAAAATTTATTCCTTAAGAAACAGAAGTACTATTTGACGAGCCCAGATCTTGCTGGGTCAAGCCCAGTTAGTGAGGTGAACCCATACTAGCTACAAGGCGGGTCAAACCCAATTCATCGGTCCAACCTAGTCTAGAATTCAAGGAGTCTAAGAAGATTAGAGTACGAGAAAAGTAATTATCAAGATAGCCACTCTCGAAAATCAAAATAATTTTTAATTGTATTGACCCTTAGTTATAGTTATTCTTCCCAAAAAATTAGTATCTTTACCCTCACGTCACCGTCTCAACTAAGACTATGTGCCTATAAATTGTAAGCCCTCTCCACATGAGAGGAGCATATCTCTACACAACCATCATATAACTATTTCTCCTCCTAGCTACCACAACTCTCCTAGAGCTCACCTTTGCTCACCTTTGCGCTCTTTCTCTCTCTCTCTCTTACCTTTCTTTATTAATAAAGGTTATTCGGCCACCGTTACCACTTTCGAAGTGAAGTAGGTCCATGAACAAATCACTATATATATGTGTGTGTTGATCTAATATTTGTCTTTTGCTATTAACTGTTCATTGATTGTTTCATTAATTACCCTAAATTACATATTCGACTATTGATTATGCATGTGTTTTGTATATCATCACTATTAACCCTAAAATTTTAGTTCACCTTGCACAATTTTAATAATTATTTTGTGGGCATACACAAGCATATATATATTAATTTGCTAATATTAAACTAGTGCACTGAAAAACAATCATCATTGCTTTGATACCAGTGTGGGTTGGTGTTGATTCTACCACCGCGAAGACAAGGAAGAGTCATATTCCCTACTTGGCCGTCTAATATGGAATCTGGTGATCTCATCTTCAACTCAACCTTATTGGCCACTTTCCAAGTAGTATTAAAAAGGAACAAATTACATTTCATGCACCCTTAGTTTGTGGGTTACTCTCTCTCTCTCTCTCGGTTTGGGTTTAAGCTTCACAGTTATCCTTCATGATAATTGGATTTACTAATGATAGCACTTTTTCTCATAAATTTCTATTTTATTAACAAATTTAAAGAAACTAAGATGAAAAAATAGTAAATTTATTTGTCTAATGAAAAGTTGAGGGAATCACTACCCCTAACTAGAACCACCACCAACCATCCCTTTCAAAAGAAAAAGAGACAACACATGGAATCGTCCCCCGTGACAACCATATAGAACCACCACTTAAACACTATCGAGCAGTTAGTTCAATGGGTAAAAACTCAATTTTCTTTGTTCAATACTTAAGTTTGAGTTTTCACAGATACGACAACTCGGAGGGAACATTAGCTTTGGGCCCTATATAGGTGTGGTGGAGTCTTCTACAGATAGTTGGTGTAGTGTTGAAAGGCAATATTTCCCAACGAATATGTGGAACGGTCTATCTGTGTACCCTTTTTATGTACCAACAAAAATAAAAATTTAAGGTCCCAAACTTTCTTTTTTAGGATTGTTTAAAAAAAAATTAAGGCCCGATTTTAATAGGTTTTTTTTTGGTTTTTTTGTCTTGTCTAATTTTTATATAGTATAGAAACACACGTGTAATTTCTCAATACAATACTTTTGAGGTCTTATAATTAGGATCAATTAACTAATTAATTATATATACCTAATTGTTGTGAATTATAACTTTTTTGTTAAATTTAGTTCAAGGTTGAATTTTGATTGCTTTGATTATTATTTTTTGCAATGCACAAAATTACCAGGAAATAGATCGAATAGCTACATATATATATATTCACTGGTTATGATGGGCATGGCACTAACAAATGCATAACTTTAGCCATTTTTGTTCAAGACCTTATTGATGACAATTGGATCAACATCTAACAGTGCTCCATTGAACCTAATATTAGTGCTAGATAAATATATTTTTATACTTGTGATAATAAATATTATTAGGGTCTCGTTTAACATTTTTGCCCAAACCTCCGTATATGTCGGGCCACCATTGTCTGAATCACAACTAGTCACCTTACTTAGAATCACCACCTAAAAATCAGCCCCACCACCTTAATCAAAACCAGCCCCTCTGCACACCAACCTCACAACCCATAACCAAAAGCTATGCCTCCACCAAACCCAAAATCAAAATTTGCAGAAAACACACATGGAACAGCTCAATTCAAATTCATTTCTGGGCATATAAGCGTATATATACACATAACGAAGAGAAAGAGACTGATGGATAGATTCGACATTTGGCTCTATTCTGACCTAGATCAAATCTCATCAAAAGAAAAGAAGGGATAACAAATAAGATTGTAAGAGTCTTTTCTATTTGATAAAGACACAAAAAAAAAATACAAAACTAGAGAGAGCAAAAGAAGGGTGGTGGTGGAGGAACGAAGCCGTTAGTGGTGGTGGTAGTATGCATGTGTCTACAGTCTATTCGTGCTCACTTGTGTACGAGGGTATATGAGAAAAATATAACAAGACATATAAACATATTACACAATATAGGGGCAAATTGGGTATTCTAGTTTTTGGGCAGGGTCATACAACAAGGTCGAGGGGGGACCAATTGATATGGAATATGGGTGTAATTTCAAAAATTCAAAATGTAACTTGTAACATTATTAGAAATTATAGGGTTTGTTAATGTAATATAACCTGTTAATTAAAATGGGCCCAATGCATGGGGTTTCCACTGTGGGGTTAAGTTGACCAATCAATGTTTGCTCCAATTTTGTGGATCTCGAGATTGTGGTGGGACCTTGACGAAAAAAAAAATGATGGTGGGACCATGATTTGGGCTTGAAGGGGGCCACCACATTGGGAAGAAGGATTTTATAGAGCAACTGTTGGTCTTCATCAAAGTTTCTACTTGATTGCGTGCGCCCACAGACATGGGTAGTGTTTTTTTCAATCATATATACATATATAAACCTGTAATTAGTTCAACAAAAAAAATTATAATATCAAATACTAACATGCTCAAACAAAAATTCAGCGTGTTACTATTTTTTTGTTTGAACATTTTACTGTTTGATATTATTATTTTTTTTGTTGAGTGTGTTACCGTTTGATATTACTATTTTTTATTGAATATATTACTGTTTGATGTTACTATTTTTTTGTTAAACGTGTNCCCAATGTCATTTTTCCATCTAAGAGTGGTGTTGAGATTCACATTTCTTAACTTGGGGAGGGCATTGAAATGTAGTTAAGTGTTGAAACTTTTAAAGAGAATTGTATGCTCCATTGTTGGAATTGCATAAACTTGCCTACACCTCTATTTGGTTGAGATTTTTGAATCATTATCCTTTGTATTGTTGGATAGATTGGTTAGAAAAGGCATTTGCACACCAAAAAAATTTTAAAATAAAAAAAATTGATGGTCGTAAGCTCATATCCGAATTGAAGCTAGATTGACATGAGTCCTTTTTGTTTGTTTTCATGCACATAGTCGTTATATTTCTTTTATTGTTATATTTTTATTTTTCCTGATGTTGTAGTGTAGATTTTAATATGAAGTTTGTTTACCTCCCTCTAATTTGGACTCAAATCATTTTGAGAATTATCATAACAANATATATATATATATATATATTTGAGATAGAAAAATAATTCTAATGCTAATACAATTTTCAAGTTATGAGTTGTTGTATTTAAAAATATTGAAATTAACAATGATAGACAATATATATGGTCAGAGTAATTATGAAATACATTTCAAAAAGAATTTAAAATGTTTTAAAATGTGTACTTATTAACAACTATTTGATAAAAAATAAGACTTAATGTAATATAAATTTGAAGATAATGCTTAAAGTCAGATAAGTTATACAAAAATTACTCACAACCAATTATCCCTTTTACTTAGGCCTCGTATAAAATATCAAAGCGCGAAATTCCAACGGGCAAAACTAGCCGTTCAACCCGTCCACATGGCATGTCGTGGATAGCCCGATAACTCGGCGAGTAGGGCTTGGGCTGTTTTTTTGGGGGTTGGGGCCCAACGGGTTGGTCCGTTAAGAAGCTCATTAGTCCAACCGATTATGATCATTGGAATTCTAACGGCTCAATCAATTCATTCATTATTTCTTCACCACAGTTCAATCACTCTTTCAAACGCTACCTAACTGTCTCTCAATATCTTTCTAAGCTCATTTATTTTATATCTAACTTATTTGATTATAGTTTGTTAATTCGAAGAAGTTGAAGTTGAAATTGGAGTTGGAACATTAAATAGAAGTTGTTTGAGTAATCACACTTAAAATCAAAATTTATTTTTTCATCCAACTGTATAAATTTATGTCTTTTTTGTAGCTTTGACACAATTTTATTTAAAAAAAAATCCGTTTCAGGCCCAAAATAGTGGCCCTTTAGGCCCGACCATGTTTAGCCTTGTTTTTTGGCCCAATAATCCGGCCCATGAGCAGGCCATAGGCCTTAAATTTATTCCACATACGGATTCGGGTCGAGTCATTGACTAGTCAAAACCCACAGGCCCAGACCAATGAGTGGGCTGAAAAATCAGGGGCCAAGCAGTTATTGTGGCTTAATTTTACCTAAACACTACAGCAACCCAAATAAGACTTAGTAACAAGCCTTGTTGGACGGACCCGAAACAAAATTCTTTGGACTCAACAAGCCCTCCTAACTTCAGTCTTATCAAGTGTTGGTCAGTAAGCGGGCTGAACTTGAATCTACTAAGTATAAAATGTTGGAAAATTTGAAAGTCGGTATAAAAATTTGAACTTAATTGAGTTAACTACAATAAGAAAATTTATTTGGTCCTCAGTACATTTTTTTTTGAAAAAAATACTAAAAGGTCATTCATTTCTCAATTACTCTTTATCTCCCTCTCTTTCCGTTACTCTCTCACTCTCTCTCTTTCTTATTTTCTCTCTCCGTTACTCTCTCTATCTATCTCCTGTTTTTTTATCTCTCTCTCCCTTTGATAAATTTTTTTCAAACATGTAAAAATTTGATTTAATTTTTCATCTCTCTCCAATCTTCTCTCTATATCTCTCACTCTCTCTCCCCTTATTTTCTCTCGTTATTACTCTTTTTTTTCCTTATTATATCTCTCTCCTTATATTAACGTTACAACAACACAATTATATCAATTAATTGCACTAATTAATTACAATTACCCTATAATACACCAAACAGTTATTCATGTGTTATAATAAACTAAACAGTTACACCAAACAATGACACAAAATTTTCTCTTAGTATTCTCTATCTCTTTATATCAACTTTAAAATTATACAATTACACTAATTAGTTGCATCAATAAGTTACAATAGTCTTATAATAAACTAAACAATTACTCATTACACTAAACAATTATACGAAATTATAATACTAATCCAATTTGTCATTCAGTTATTTATATAAATCAAAAAGTTACATCATTTAATATTATAACATGGTTACACCAATTATATACATCAAATTGAGTTTATCATTACACAAAAGTTGATGTAATCATATCGTGATACTAAATAATAAAATTATTTATTTTATATAAATAATTGAATGGCAAATTAGGTTGGTGTCATAATTTTGTGTAATTATTTGGTGTAACTATTTGGTTTATCAGGGTACATGAGTAACTGTTTGGTGTATTATATGACAATTGTAACTGATTGATGTAGTTGTATTGTTGTAATATTGATATAAAGAGAAAGTAATAGTGAGAGAAAATATAGGGAGAGAAAGTGAGAGAGAGAAAATAGGGGGGAGAGAGATAAAAAAATAAAATAAAATCTTTACATATTTGAAAGGAAAATAAATTATTAATGGGAGATAGAGACAAAAATCAGGCAGAGATAGAGAGAATAATGGATAAAGAGAGAAAATATGGGACAAAGAGAGCGAGAGAGCAATGGAGAGAGAGTAATGGTGTGAGAAATAGGGTGAAAGAGAGTGAAATAATAAGAATTATTAGGAGTGTTCACCCTACTTTACGAGTAGGAATTATGATATTTCATTTTTCTATCTGATATTTTACAAAATAATTTTTTCTTAGCCTACCATACCCGATCAAATGTACTAATCCTACCCGAATTCTGTTAAAAACAATCGGGCAGGAAGTCAGGTAGAGAATCAGATGATAAACCAATAATACTAAAGAAAACACAATAAATTCGATATACATAAACAATTATAATAAAAGAAAACAAGAAATTCATAAATATCAATACATCATATATAAAAAAGTTATAAATACCAATAAAACATTAGAGTTTATAGATTTTGTAGGTACTCTACATTCTTACAAGATTTTTTGCGGAATACAAAAAAATATTCCGTTGACCTACCCAATTTTTTCGGATAGCCGATCAATTGAGTCGTGTAGGGTAAAATCAAAATTTATGGGTAATCAAATGCAAATGTCATTTGAATTTTGTATCTAATAACAAGATATTTTATCAAAATAAACTTAGTAGAGTAAAATATTTATTCATACATGCCCTCTCAAATAAGTTCAAAAAAAATGTCCCTAAGCCTTAAAAACCCTAAAATGTTCATGCTCACAGCTTGACTGACATTTTTAAAAATTAGGCGTTTGGGGGTAGTTTTGTATTTTACAAAGTCAAATACAGGAAAAGAGGTCAAAAGAGCCGTTAGATTTATGAAGGACTACAAGTCTACAAGTGGAGAATTTTGAAAAGAGCGAGTCATTCCGTTGGGCTTTTCCAATCGGTTAAACTCATTGGTTCACCGGACCCTAAAGATTCAAGTCCAAGCCATACTTGGGAGGGTTAGCGGGTAATTCATGAATTGACATATTTAACGCAAAGATTACATTATGTCATTACGTTTGTAATATGATATAGTATCACAATTCAATAAAAATACAAAAAAATTGGTAAAGTGAATTCCACTGCTATTATTAAATTACATGGAGTAGTAATTATTTATTTAATTATGTGAGATTCACTCATTAATTCATCCGGCTTCTTTGTTGTCGATTAAAACAATATTATTTTATACAAAAATAACTTTGTTCTATTTAAGAAATTAACGTCCTTTTGATATAAACCAATACTATTTCAATCAACAACACCTTTACTGTTAATTTTTTAACAGTAAAAAATTAACAATTGATGATCCTCGATCTTTAATTGTGGTGTTTTTACTAAATGATAATATTGCATTAGGAGTGTCCATGGGTCGGGCCAAGTTATGCCTACAAAATATTTTTTGGGCTAGGCCTAGATAGAGTAAGTCTTAGTTTTTACTCAAGCGAGTTATTGGGCGGGTTAAATCAGACTTCGAGTAGGGGTCGCAGTATGTTACCCGTAACCCAACCCATGAGTCTATTGGGCATGCTTGCTTGGCAGGGCAGGGGAGCTTACTCGCAAGCTTTTTTATATACAATTTTATTTAAAAATAATGAATATTTTTGTAAATTATATTTTTAAATCAAAAGTATAGTCAAAATGGACAAAAAGTAAATAATAAATAATTTTATTTTTGAATAGAGGAAGAGCTACAAAACAGTAGAATGAGCACATCTCAACTAGGTTGACATATACCCACCTACCTATCATGTGCACAATTTTACTCTTTAAAACGTATATGCTTAATATATGAAAAATAAAATAATACATTATTTATATTATCTAAATTTTTAAAATTTCAAATTTTAATATTGAACGACTTATTTCAAAGTTTTAAATTCAATGGTCTAATAGTCTAATTTTTTTCAAAAGAAGGGTGGGTTAGGCCTGGTTTTACAAGCTGGCTATTGTGCTGGTTAATAGATTTGGGGCAAGTCCAAACCCTCTTTTTAAACATATTGGGTTTGGGCTCTCGCTCGGGTTTGAGTTTGGGCTTGATCAGGCCAATTGACAGGCTTATTGGATTTCGGGCTGGGACCCGTGAATAATCCGGCCCATAGACATGGGCGTTTGCCTTGGCTTAAGCCAAATACCCAAAGTGCCCTTATCTTAATAAAATCGCCCCGGTTCACAAAGGCCACTTTTGTAATACCAATTCCTCTCTCTCTCGAATTCAAACACAGCACCCAGACCTTTCCGTTGCCTTTATTCGCCGCTTCCCACCAGAGCCTTCCACTTCACTCTAGATGAACTACGAGCAAAGACTGATCGCAGCGGCAAAGTACGTCTTCGCCAAAGAATCAATCGACGGAGACCCGCCGATGAACCCCGCCGAGTTCGGAATCACGGCGACGCTCAAACCTCACCAAGTCGAAGGAGTCTCATGGCTTATTCGAAGATACCTTCTCGGCGTCAACGTCATTCTGGGTATCCTTTTCTTTCCCTATTCCAAGAAAATTAAAGAAAATTGGTATTTGACTATTTATTATATTTAATTTGTTGTAGTTATAGTAAACTTTCTTACCAACCAAATAGATTACGAGTTACCTGGTATATCTGTTGATTTTATTTGCAGGCGACGAGGTAAATTTGATTTATAAGATGTAGATTTCTGAACCTGAATGAACTTGGAGAGTAAAGAACTTCTATAAGATTGTGGTCTCTTGAAAGCGATTAAATTAGTTTGTTTCCTTTACTTACCACTTGGGTCGATAGAAAAACCCAAAAGATTGTGGGAATGTATTTAGAAGTTCTTGTTGGAATTTCGTACTAAAACTGAGTCTTTATTTATTATTATTATTATTATTGCCCAAAAGATTGTAGGGGCGTTTCTAATTTGTGGATTTTGTCAAGTTCATTACTACAAATTGAAAATTGATTACAAGAACATGTCTTCGGCGTAATATCCAGTTGGGTTTCTAAATAAACTGAGTGAAGAATGAAATAAGATTAAATTGGTTTGTAATCCAATGCAATGGTAATTGTGTTAATTGCTTTGAATGGGAATGGTGTATTGGCAGATGGGACTGGGTAAGACTTTGCAAGCTCTCTCTTTCTTATGCTATTTGAAGGTTTGTCAGAGATCACCTGGGCCATTTTGTGAGTACGAAAGCCCTTTTATTTGATTTGGATGAGCTTGTAATGGTTATATTTTTTCCTAGCTAGGCTTATTATTTTTCCTTCACATATTTTTTGGACCATCATCATGTTCTTAGTATTATTGCATCATCTGCAGTGGTATTATGCCCTCTCAGTGTGACTGATGGTTGGGTGTCAGAGGTAGCCAAATTTGCCCCAAACTTGAGAGGCCTTCGTTATGTCGGAGACAAGGATCACCGGCGAAATTTACGCAGGAAAATGTATGAGGATATAAAAGAGCAATCCTTGTCATCTGATGTAAGTTTGGGAGCCTACTGTATTTGTTTTATTACAAAGTAGAGTGTGGTTTATGCGGCCTATAATTCTTTAATGTTATTCAAAAGATCCATTATAATTTATTATGGGTTTCATGGCAATTTATGTTTTCTTTGTGATATACATATAATATAAGCCATGATGTTTGCTTGTATCTTACAGGTGCCATTGTTGCCTTTTGATGTGTTGCTGACTACATATGACATAGCATTGATGGATCAGGATTTCCTCTCTCAAATTTCATGGCATTATGCTATTATCGATGAAGCACAAAGACTAAAAAATCCTACCAGCGTATGTTTATGATTCCTCTGATTAGTTCATACTATTATTTCTGTAGAGGCAACCTGCTGGCTGATCATGAGTTATTACCTTCTAGTTTTTGTATGATCTTAAAATCGATGTAGTACAATAATTTATTGTACCTTTATATTTCTCAATCTTTATCATTTTGCTGAGAAAACTTGAGATTGATTTTTATTTGCACATCCATACACCTTTGTTGTCCTGTAATCTGTTGACACTTGAGAATACATTGGTTTTTGTTATAATGACTTGTATTCCAAGTCTTATTTGGATCCTCTTTTGGAAGATTTTGTGTGTGACCCAAGGAATATAGGTTTGCTGGTATGTTGAGTTTTATTGGGATTAGAATATTTGAAATCTTCATATTTGTGGAACACGTCACTTGCTTGGTGAAGGCTTTTTGTCTTTCTTGGACTTTATGTCCTTTCTTTTATTTTGTTCAACATGGACTAGGATTCTTATACCTATTGCCAGAAGCTTTATCAAAAGGAGTAATGTCTTCAACGGGTTTGGCCTTTGGACGAGGAACAACAACGATGAAATTTTGGGATTTGCTCTATTTGACTTTGGGTCTTCTTTGGAAACACTAATTTTATTGGGAAGAAGATTTTGTGTGCACTATTAATTTTGTAATAGTGATAGAGCAGACATACGTTCTTTTGTTGCTTGTTGCCAAGAACAGTTTTGTAATCTCCAACCTTTCATAATGAAATCTTGCCGTTGTATTTTGCTCGTGGACGTAGGCTTGCTTGTTGAGTCGAACCACATAAATTTTGGATTTTTTATTTTTCTATTTCGTTTCATTATTATTTGTTTGTGGTCTTTGTTCATAACAGTTTTCAAATTCATTTAAGAATGCGGAGATGGGGTTATTTGAAAATTAACAAATATATGCCTATTAATGTGCAACTGACACACGTCATGCCAAAAATTTACCTTTTACCTTTTACCTTTTTTATGTTAGAATATAATTTAGGGTTTTCTAGACTTCTAATTTCTTGATGGATTTCAATGTCATGTTTTGCTCTAATGATCCTCACAAGTGCGTCATCGTAATTAGGCTAAAACTTGGATAATGAAATTCATGCTTCAGCTATTTCATTTCTCTTCCACTCTACTGCAGCTTCCTAATGGCTGGCTCTTTAATAGGTCTTGTATAGTGTCCTCAGAGAGCGCTTTGTCATGCCACGACGGTTGCTGATGACTGGCACCCCTATTCAGAACAACCTTGTGGAACTTTGGGCTTTGACGCATTTTTGTTTGCCTTCAATCTTTGGGACATTGGAGCAGTTCATCTCAACATTCAAAGAAGCTGGAAATCCTTCATCAGGTAATCTTTCTACTTGCCATGAATCCATAGTTTGAGTGGGTCCTTTCCTCAGATATCTTGAAATTTCAAGCTATATGTATGTCTTTTAGCTGTCATAGAGAAGTCAGCTGTATATCTTTTTTATACTCCTACTAGTTAAGCAGCATTCAGCTATGTATCGTTTGAAAGCGTAAAATAGCTACATAAACATTGAAAGATTCATTTGAGCGGGCATGCATATCATGTTTTTGTTAGTAGTTAGTTATCTTTCACTGGGTTTCTATGCTTTTGTGGTTGTCCATTTCTTTCTGGTGGATCGTGAGGTGGCATTTGGTTGTTTTATGCATGATGTTGTAAATTGTAATGCATATCTCCTTGGCAAAATTTATTGACACTGATGTTTCATTGAGTCAGGACTGTAGGCTAATAGTCTAGTCTAAATCTTCTTGCACCAACAACAATTGCTGCAGCTCCTTGTCACTTCAACTGACTTATACTTTAACTTAGGTTTGGATGATGTTTCTTTGATAAGGGAGTATGCTTAGATTCTGTATTAAATTGTAGCCGATTTTGGATCGAGAGACTACACATTATGAAAAAATCTGGACTATTTTATATGCATCCCACCTACTTTTAGAGATGAAACTTTATTCTACGCATCTGTCAAGCCCTGGCATTTGTTTCGAGTCATGGAGTCAGTCTGTCCACATGCAAGAGTAAGACTGTGTTCATTTGACCCTCCTTAGACTCTGCTGTGACAAGAGTCCTGTAGGCTGCGATGTTTATAGTGAATTGGAGCAAATTGCCACAGGACAGTGGTAGAGTTAAGGACCATTTAAAAACATTGTAGAGCTTGGGCAACAATATTTCATTTTAGAGATGAAACTTTATTCTACACATCTGTCAAGCCCTGGCATTTGTTTCGAGTCACGGAATCAGTATGTCCACATACAAGGGTGAGACTGTGTTCATTTGACCCTCCTTAGACTTTGCTGTGACAGGAGTCTTGTAGGCTGTGATGTTTTTAGTGAATTGGAGCAAATTGCCACAGGACAGTGGTAAAGGACCATTTAAAAACATTGTAGAGCTTGGGCAACAAAGGCCATAGTTGGTATTTTGCTAATAGGAACTTGCATTGTGGTGCAGTTTTCTCAAGTAAGATGATGCTATTTGAAGATGTAGTGTCATACAGAAATTGAACAATGCAATTAACTGAGTACCTTAGTAGTTTGTTGGGAAAACAATCTGATTGTGATTGGTGAGACAGTTAGTTAAGATGGATGCTTCTTGATAACCCTTGCTTTTTTAGTTATTCACAGGTTGGATGCTTCTTGTTAAGTCTTGCTTTTGCAGTCACTGGCTGCACTTTTTTTTTTTAAATCTGTTACTTCACATCCTATCATCCAGTTAGCACCTTTTAGTGCTCCAAAGGTTGTGATTCTTGAACCATTGAGATTTAGCAGTTCTCAGCAGTTAACAGGGTTACGATTCTAACCACAGTGGTTGTATTTCTTGTGTAGTTAGCGAATAATGTGATTTGGTGTTGAGTTAATAGATTTGTGTGTGTATCTTTTTTGTGCTATTGGCCCAGTCTCATATTTCTGACATTTGCACTCCCATTGTTGAAATTCACTCGTAATATCCATACAAGACAAGCTTAAAGTCGTGTACCCCACCCGTTTGATCTGAAGTAATAAATGCTATTCTAACATGTCACATTCCTTGTCCATGCAGGTCATGATGCAGCAAAAGTTAAGGAACAATTCAAAATCATAAAATATATATTGGCAGCATTTATGCTTCGAAGAACAAAATCTAGGCTTATTGAGTCTGGAACCCTCGTGCTGCCACCTCTTACTGAGATCACTGTGTGAGTTCTTTACCATGTCTATACTCAACTTATTTTTTTGCATCATGCAACCATAACCTCTCACATAGGGCTGGGCTCCGACTTTGATGGAGTCAGAGAGCAGACATTTGACCTCCAACTCCAACTTCAGCCGGAGTGAATTTTTCCTTCCGACTCCGACTCCAAACCACTATAACATTGCCTTGTCGAAAGCGGAGCGGAGTTTCAGAAATGGACACTCCCAAAAAAAAAAAATATCATTAGAAATATATATACACACACACATAATATATAATATGAACGTGTGTGTTTGCTTAGTCTCGTGTGTATGTATACATATACTAGCAATGTGAAACGTTAAATTTGAGCGCACAAAAAATCGATTGTATTATATTAAATAACAAATTTTCTTTCCTTCCTTTCTTTGATTACATTATTTAAAATTAATTTTTATCTATTATTTTCTTAAAAATATCGACAATTTTTTTCTCAAAATATGTAATTTGACAATTTTTTTTAACGTATGCACTATCGTGTATGAACAATATCTGCAATAAAAATTATGTTAAATTATAAATTAATTAAATATTAAAAAATTAAACATGCGATAGAAATGAGTGGTATTATGTTTTGGGGGGAAAATATATAGGGTATAAAAATTCAAGTTGCTAAGTGTTTTATTATATAGATATAACGATTGAACAGACGCGCGCACCAGTGAGATATGAGTTTTGCACATCCATTGTTGAGATCTGAGATTTGAGTTATAAGATTTGTCATCGATTTCAAAAGAGTTATTTGCCATCGAGTTTTGTCTTTGAGAGAGAAAGAGAGAGAGAGAATAAAGAGGGATTATCCTAGCTAAAATAATTAAAAGAAAATTAGAACAAAAAAATAATAAAAAAAATAAAAACTGAATGGTATGAAACGTGAAAAGCCCATGTTTATTCATTATATAATTTATATAAACTTATTTTTTAATTAAAGTCGGAGTCGGAGTTTTTTCAGAAAGAATTTCAGATTCCGACTCCGTTAAACTCCGATCTCGTTAAACTGACTCCGAGTCGGATTTTTGGACATCCCTACTCTACTCTCATATGTTCTCAAAACTACTCAAATAAGCAACGCTGGATGCATCTAGTTGGTTTAACCTGTTGTTAGAGTAGTTTGCATAGAAATTTGATGTTCAACCTTTCTTGAAATTACCTAGCTATCTACATGAAGTAATGCTAAGATGCTTATATGAGTTTACTTTGATAGGATGGCACCCTTGGTGACTCTGCAGAAGAAGGTGTATATGTCCATATTGAGGAAAGAGCTTCCTAGGCTTCTAGCACTCTCTTCTGGAGCTTCTAATCATCAGTCCTTACAGAATATTGTATGTAATCTCTTTCCAATTAATCATGTTCATTGATGGGTTTCTATGGATATGCTGTGGTAATGTATATTGTTTCCGGCAAAAGATATGCTCATCTCAAGTAACCAGGGGACTTGTTACTGCCCCTTACTGTCTTTCATCTTATGTTCCTTGCTAAGAATTTTAAGTTGTGTGGGATTCATCTTTCTCTCTGTCATGAGTTGAGAGTTGTCAGGGGAACTATTTTTTATGGTTTCTCTACTTTTTGTCCTCTGTTGCATGGATATACAAAGTGGGTGAAGTATTGATGGTGGAGATGCTGCATTACGAGGAGACCATATGACCCTAGGATATCTTATTGCACGAGTTGGATTTTAGGAATGCTTTAATGTCTTTAAGTCCTACGACTTGGGTGTAATATAATTTGTGACTTGTATATTATGGCTGCCATTAACTTGCATACAAGAGTTCATGTTGTATGCAATTGACTGTAATTGCACTTAGTGAGTCTTTTGACTGCTGAACCTAATTTAAGGATGGGAGCAATGAGTGTACACTTTTTTGATAAGCGACAGAGCCACACCAGTGTGGCATAAGCTTGTGGTGGAAACTGTACCCTCAATTTTCATGTTATATGTGGTGTGTAGAAATAAGAGCCAATATTTCTTCAATGGAAAATTTCTTTGTTTCATTTCATCGAAGCGATTGCAGCAAAGAATTGATCTGAAACGAAGCACTTCATCTATGGGCATTGTAGAATGGATAGGTGGCTGGAAAGGAATGAAAGGCTAGATAGGAACAAGCTGGCTTGAACTTTTTGAACTTACACATTATATGCTTTTCTTTTGGTGATTGTGATTCATGTAGCCTGTTCATGCCTAGTTGATATTGTAATTGAAGTGTTGCTTTTATTGCTGTTCTGCATGGCTGCGGGGGTTTCAAATTTTGTTGGTGGAAGCTGACTGGTTCTTCACCAACCAATTGCTACTTCTGTTCAGGTAATACAGCTACGGAAAGCATGTAGTCATCCTTACCTTTTTCCTGGTATAGAGCCTGAACCCTATGAAGAGGGGGAGCACCTCGTTCAGGTAGTTTCGCTATTTTAGGCGGATTGTACAGACAGGGTTATGATAATGCAACTTGGACTTGCATATATGCTTGTGCGGTTTCAATAATCAGTCATCTTGGTGTTTTTATCATTTTCTGTTCAGGATTGTGGCAAACTTATAATCCTAGACAAGCTACTTAAGAAGTTACATGATTCTGGACATCGGGTTCTTTTATTTGCTCAGATGACTCATACACTCGACATTATACAGGTTTTTTCATATTCCATTTTCATAGATAAAAAATAATACTTATTCCCTTATTAGGAAAGCTTCACACACTGAGGTTGATTTTATCTTTAAGTGCCAAAGATCTTTGGTTATATTTCTGTGAAATATAGGATTTTCTGGAATTGAGAAGATATTCTTATGAACGTCTTGATGGCTCAATACGGGCTGAGGAGCGGTTTGCTGCAATTAGAAGTTTTAGCCGACCATCAACCAAAGGAAATTCTAATTCTGATGCTGATCAAAACAGTGCATTTGTCTTTCTAATCTCTACAAGAGCTGGGGGAGTTGGTCTGAATCTTGTGGCAGCTGATACAGTGAGTATTTGCAATACCAGAACTATAATTTCCTTTTTATTTTTTCCATTTGAGGCTCACATTGATAATTTCTATGGAACTTAATGATAGTTTCTATACTATCAAAGTAGAGGATTCCAATTTTTTAAGGAAATGATAGATTTACTTCATGTAATATTTCCCTTGTTCTACTTTTAACTTTAGGGTACATATGACCAGAGGCCTTGCAAAGACCAGGGTATGCATCCATTGCGATTTAAACCACCAAGAATGCTCAACCAGGATTAGATTTGAATTAGATCAGGGGTTTCCCTAATCCAATCCGTCAAGGAAAATCTGTTGGGAGTTGATACTAAAACATGGAAAAAGAAAACAAATGAGGCATTTTCTCTGTATATTAATATTTTTACTGTTTCATAGTTTTCAAGCTCAATCGCCACCACCTGTGTCTTATATTTGATACTACCAGTCCCAATTCCGGGGAGAAAATTAATTCCTTGTGAGGAGGAGCATTGAAATTGAAATAATAACCATTCTCATATCTCTTGGTCACTTCCTATAGTACTCATGTCCTATAATTCTGACCGTTGGACTAGATCCTAATCCAATTTTTTTAGGAAAATTTGTTGAAGATGATATTTTGACTGTACATTAATGTTTTTACTGTTTCATATTATTCAAACTCAATCAACACCGCCATTGTCTTATTTTTGATACAACCAGTCCCAAGTCCGGAGAGAAAATTAATCCCTTGTGAGGAAGCATTTATACTGAATTAATAACCATTGTTTTATCCCTTGATCACTTCCTACAGGACTCATGTCCTATCATTCTGGCCATTGTACTGGATGCTATTATTGTACATGTTATTCCTGTCAAAACTTTAAGTTGATTCAGTATAGGTAGGCGTCAGATCCATGGATTCACATGCCTTTTAATCAAATATTAGAGCAAGGCACTCGCTATGCCAGTGTATGTGTAATATGTGAGTTGAGGGGAGAGAGGGTAGTTTTTTGGGATATGGATAGTTACTTTGAGCAGTTAAGGATAATGCCAAATGTTGGAGACACCAACTGACCAAGTCAGGTCTCTATATTAGATTTGAACTGGACGCCTTGTATGCATGGTTACCCATGTGAAGAGAGAAGTAGGCAGTTAAATATGATTAAAAAAGGAGTTGGGTTGTTATTTGGGAAGAAATAAATGAGAATATCGATATTTCATGAGTGGAGGTGGTTGAATGGAGTTAAAGAATGGGTTATGGGTACTTATTTAGGAAGAAATAAAGGGTTTTATAGAAATTTTAGGAGTGGAAAAAAAAATCCCCTACTATCCCACTTTTAATAGTATACAACATTAAGTTAGAGTGTGATGTTGATAATGTAGCCTTGACAACTAATTTGGTTTTTGCATGTGACAAGCCTGATAAGAAAATCTAATCAATAGTTTGATTGAATGTGATTAATCATATAGTAAGTTATTGACTGCATTCTTACACCAGGGATAAGCTGATCCTATCTTTGTACAGATATAATATTCTAATGTTTTAGTGGATCAAATCATTCATGGGTTGTAAGCATCAACCGCCAGCCCTCTTTAAGATATTTGGACAATCGAGGGGGTTCCATATCATATTCAATCCGATTAGCAGGCCTAAGATATTTGGACGCGAGCCTGGTAACAGTTCAACAGGATTAGCCATTGCCAACTTGTTGGGATATGAAGTGTAAGTATAAACATTGGTTGAGATCAAGTTGCTTTTCTGGTGTCTGAACTGAGCTTTGCCCATTTATTCTTTGAATAAACTTGCATATCAGCCTAAAACTGGAAGCTACTTTATATAAGGGAGATTTCCTTATGTTGGAACTTTTATGGAATATTTTGGATGTCTTTATGGAGCAGAAACTGAGGTGAATAGAAAACTTGCACATGTAAACTTCTCATTGAGCCGAAACTGAGGTGAAGCAGAATATCTGCACCTCGTACACTTCGTCTTGATCTTGTTCTTCTTCTATGTTCAATTCCAACAAAATAACTTGGAAAATGACTCTTGGAGGTTAATAAAAGAGAACACAAGTAGGATTGTCCCATAGAACTATGATATGAGTGTTCAAGTTGACGTTTCTCTAAAATTCCTTTGAAAGCACATCACTTGTATTCTTTCCTTCTCTTTTTTTTTGGGAAAGGAAGTGGGGGGGGGGGGG